CCGTATGGAGTCCACCATAGGGTCCAGCCATAACCCTAGTCAAGTCCATGACTAGGGGCGTCTCACACGCCCGTCAAGTCCATGACACAATAAACACAACACCCGTATGGAGTCCACCATAGGGTTCTGCCATAGCCCTAGTCAAGTCCATGACTAGGGGCGTCTCGCACGCCCGTCAAGTCCATGACGTTGGTCGTCGTGTCGCACACGACTGTATCACAAACACAATCATGCTGCACTCGTCGCACGAGTGAGCTACAAACGTGGCAATCAACGTGCATATCTTCCCAATACAATCACGCGTATCGCGGTATTCGGTCCCGACCGAGATACCGATTAACGCCATGCAAACTACCCAGTATAATCACGCAACGAGTCACTCGCATCGTTGAATCACACATCTCACCGCGGGTGATAACTCGAAAATTCTCCGAAGAGTTAGTTCTACACTCCGGACCGGTCGGTTCAGGTTGAAGTTGACCTTCGGTTCGTCCGTTCTGTCTCGGACAGCTCGAGTGGACCGTTCGGTCCGAAAATCAGTCCGTTCGGACTGGAACCATCAGTCCGTTCGGACTGAGACAGTCAGTCCGTTCGGACTGGGTTTACAGTCCGTTCGGACTGCGTTCTGCAGTTCGTCGTCTTCGCGAAAACAGATTTCTGGTCCGACTTCTATTGCTCATATCTCCCTCATTTCTTATCCGAATTAAGTCCCGTTTGTTGCTAAATGTTCATTGAAATGTCCTATTTCAATTACATTCAACCAATAATTGAAACACTGCAGTAGAGTTCTGGGAAATGATTCGCATTACTTGTATGTCGACAGGTTCACGTTCTGCGTTTTTCAGCTTTTCTACCATCTTCATTCACTCATATCTCACTCATTTCTTCACCAAATGATGTACCGTTTATTGCTAGGTGTTCATTAAAATGTACTCTATCTAATTCAAGCAGCAAATCATCGAGATAACACAATCACATCAATGAAAACGAGCTCACACAGATGCAACTCAAGCCACTCACCTGTTCTTGGATCAGATTCGATTTGAATCTGATTTGGTTGAGATTGAGTGATGTTTCTGGGCTCCTCCACCTTGAGATCTCTTCCTGGACACTCCAGGGATGTTTCCCAACACTTTCTCAAGCTCTCCTTCTCTCCTCTCTTCTTCTTTCTCTCCCTCTCTCTCTCTTTTCTCTTCTTTCTCTTCTGCAGCTTCTGGATCCGAAAATGGCTGAGTGAGAGAGTTGGAGAGGCAATTATGGAGCCTAGGGGAAGAGAGAAGACGAATTATTGACCCTAGGGGCTAGCTAGGATCACACTTTGTCGGGTTGGTGGCTTTTGAGTGGGTTATGGGTCGCCCATGTGCGAGAAAGTCGCGCACTAAAGTAGTTGCCGACAATATGTTTACATAGTCCGTTCGGACTACCTTAAGTAGTCCGTTCGGACTGACTTTCTAGTCCGTTCGGACTGACTTTCTTAGTCCCTTCGGACTGACTTCCTGGTTTGTTCGGACTGGCTTCCCGGTTTGTTCGGACTGACTCGCATAGTCCGTTTTCGATTGCTCCGTTCTCACTCGTTTCTTAACCAAATCGCGCACCGTTTGTTTCTAAATCTTTATTGGGATGTCCTCTTTCATATCCAAGTCATAGATTATTGAAACCCCATATTCACACGATGCAAATTGATTCGCAACATCTGTACCTCATAAAAATTCGCGATTTGCGATTTCAGTTTCTTCCCAATTTTTATTCGTTCATATCTTCCTCGTTTCTCAACCAAATCGAGTGCCGTTTGTTGTTGGATCTTCATTGGAACACCTTCTTTCAAGCCCAAGTAACGAACAGTTGAGATATTATGGTCAGAGGATGAGAACATGAGTACAAAGAGGTAACTCACATTGGTTCTCTATGGTTTTAGGCTTGTTCTACCTTTCCTTTATTCCCGAAAGTATTTAAAATAATTCATTCGGGAATCGGAGTATTACAAAAATCTTCAACTCCCAAATTCGAATCACCAATGTGGATTTTTTCGGACGGACGAAGATTGATCTCGAAGCTTCTCAACGCTAATCCGAAAAAACGTATATCGATTTTAGCGATCATGCGAACTTCGTGGTTCCGCAAGAACTTAACTCGTCCACTCAGTGGGCTTCACAAAAAATGATGTGGGATTAATACACCAAGTGTATCACCGTTATCTGACATTCATCTTAAAATCTATATTTGGTGGAAAATTCACATTCATCTCATCACCATCAAAAGCGACACTATACTTTCTGAAAAATTCAAACTAAAGGAAATTTTGGGTAAACAAGCTCGTGAATCATGAATCATTAGCAATAAAAATCTCCAAAATGAGGCGTGAGACCAAAATTGTACAGACCCTTAGTAACACATTCCAAGTATAAAAAATCAATGAAATGGAAAACGAAATATTAATTTCTAAAATTCACACAAATATATGATTTACAATTAAAAAATTTGTGGTTAGAAATCTAATAGAAAATGCACACACAAATTCACATATGTTTGATATTAGCTGCAAGGTACATGAAAGATTATGCACGTAAAAACATTTCCATCTGATGTGATGCCTATACCTTTTTTCCTCTCCGAGTGGCATGTCTTTCTAGTTTCCACAGCCAGATTTTGTTGTTTCAATGGAATTTTATCCTCCCGCTTCTTCATTGACTCTATGCAATATTTGTATACATGGGTTATTCGAAACTATCATGACCCGTTTCTTTTTTCATGTAATAAATATTTTAATAACAAACATCAAGGGAAAAACACGTCCATATATATTATGTTGCTCTAAAGCATAGCTTTCTCTCTCCTGATTAGCAACATTCGATTATGCCCTCGTCTTCCTTGTCGCCCTCCACACAAATGGCCTAAAGGACTTATCACACTTACGTGTATATATATATGTATATGGTATACGTATGTGCGTAAACGTTGTTGAAATGGCTGAAGAGGAAGAAGCTACTATGCTTGTATGTGGCTAGATACTCCAAGAACAATTTCCATATGTCGTTTGAGATCGTTCAAATACCTCGTGTTGTACTCTTCTACGCCCAAGATTTCCTCCGAGTACATTCTCTACAATTTGGAGTTATGTCTTTCTTTTAGCCCGTCTAAACTGCTCTTGTCTCCTCTTAGAATCTGCACTACCTGCAATATACATATATATATATATATACACATATATCCGCCTCATCACAAAGTGATTAAACTTCAGAAAAGAATTTGTATATCCATGTTTTAAAATTCCTTTTAAGTTCGGAGATATACCTAGGTCATTTGAGGCCGATTCATGAAGGATAGGTATATGCACAACGATGCAGTGAATACAAGACGACTCAACCCTTACATATTCTCAGTAAAAAATAGATTTGTTGTGTTAATTTTTGTTTTTAAAAACGAAAATCTCATTTTCTTGACACTCTCTATAGCATCTGATTGAGTGGGCCTCTAGCAAAATCACTTCAAAGCTCAAAGTTATGGTCATATCTTGAGCCCAAACGTTTCCAATACAGCGAACCCGCCATCGACGAAGAAGAAGGAGCTCTCTAGAATCTGTAATGCCAAGTATAGGAAAAGAACATTGCAATCAGAAACAATATCGAGAAGCATTTACAAGAATATGTTTCTAGAAACAGAAGTATTGTCTAACCTCTTGCTCCATCTAACATCAAAACGCTTGCAGAAATGTTTTGCACCTGAGCAATTTCAAAAGACCACGTTATCAAATGTGAGAACAACCCAATGAACCCCATCACAGAAGCATTCACACCCAAAAAAAACCTAAGAGAGCATAGAAACGAAGACAACTAAAAAAATAGCCTACCTCGGAAAGTCAACCTTTCCCAAATCATTGGACCACAAAGCGACATCTCCCAAAGATACTAATATAATAAACATTGTTATTAGTGGATAATAAATAAGAAGATTTAGATTCTTCCGTTGTATGTTTTAATTTTTGAGTTAAATATCATTTACTATAGTAATAAATTAAAATGATGGGTTTGAAGTTGAATTTTTCATTTACTCCTTACGACAAAGTCATCAAAACTTTTATATCCACATTATTATTGTTAATTATTAATTACAATACGTTTTTAAATTATAACAATTTATTTTATTTTTTTATTTTTATTAAGATAAAATCATCAAGATAATGAACAAAACTGGAATATATATGTATTATGTAATCAACAAAAAAACTCAATATACTGGATGTTCACATAATCATGAGGATGTTTATAAACCAATTATTTTATTGCTCTTATTAAGATAAAATCATCAAGATAATAAATAAAATTGGAATATAAATATAATAAAAAAATTCAATATATTGAATGTTCATATAACTCATGAGGATTCTTATGAACCAATCAAATTTTAAAAAACTGCTATGTAGATTGATGAGGTGGCTTCACCAGATTCTTTCAAACACAATTATAGATATATATATAGATGTAGATTGATGAGGTGGCTTCACCAGATTCTTTCAAACACAATTATAGAAATATATATAGAATAGATGTAGATTGATGAGGTGGTTTCACCAGATTCTTTCAAATACAATTATATATAGATATATAGATGTAGATCGATGAGGTGGCTTCACCAGATTCTTTCAAATACAATTATTAATATATATAGACAAACACAATTATTAATATATATATAGATGTAGATTGATGAGGTGGCTTCACCAAATTCTTTCCAATACAATTATTAATATATATAGATAGATTTAGTTTCTATTTATTTATAAAGTTTTAAAGGTACATCTTAATCTTAATAATTATAATTAGAATAAAAAATTAAAAAAAAAAGAAGAAGATAGACGTGTCATTTAACCAATGTGGAAACAAAACTATAAAATCTGACTGGACCAATCATCTGCGAGAAAAATAAAAACGCTCCCTTCTATATATGTCTCGTCGGCGGCCAGAGAGACAGAGAGAGAGAGAGAGAGAGAGAGAGAGAGAGAGAGAGAGAGTTTATAACGGCTTTCATTAACTCCAAAGCTCCAAATCAAAAGAATTTTCTACTTCTTCCTCGTCTTCTTCGCCTTCTCCTTTCTCTCCCTATAAATTCGCAGCTTTGTCTCTCTTTTCAAATCACTCACTTTTCATTTTCTCTGTCTCTCTCTCAAACTATCTCTGTCTCTCTCTAGAGTTGCCGCACAGAGCTCGCAAGGTACTCTACTTCTCTCTCTCTCTCTCTTCCG